TTCCTAGTACTCAACAACACACTGGTGTAGTAGAGATAAGAATTAAATATTGTAATGTTAGGTTGATAATGGGTGCAAAATTTCCCCAATTGGGAATTGCACTAGTTTGTTGCCTAATCCCTAACTAAAGTGCCCTCCATATCAAATTTTACACCCATTTTGAGTAATGGGTACAGAGAGCCATCTATGGGCGATCTGTCACCATTAAGCAGCTTATCTTTATTCTACTCTCATAAGATGCGAAGTTAAGACCTAGGGTTCCTTCAGCATTATTGTATGCTGTCTTATAAACACAAAGGGTCCGTGTGGCGCATTATTGTATGCGGTCATGCAAACCCTCCGGCCAATGACATATAGGTAAGCAGCTTTGTGGTAAGTGTAACTAATCACATAAAGTTTTCTTAAGTAAGGTGACGCGAATAGAGTTTTGGAACTCTAATAGGATAGAGAATCTAAGCATAGCGCTTTAAGCCTAGTTGAGAAGGAAAAAATTTCCAATACCCTAGACAGTGGGACTATGTGCCTACTAATGAATACTCCATTAAGAAAATACTCTACATTCTTAGTTGCGTGGTAGCGAATGTGAAAATTTCACGGTCATCACTGGGTGATTTGAGAGGGAAACATTCATGATGCTCCGCAAGATGATAAAGAGCCTAGGATAATGCCAAAGGCTCTAGTCCCCTGTTTTTAGAAAGGGACAATGTTGCGTAGTAAGACAAAGTCTTTGAGATTAACCATTCTATAATTTGTGACTTGTCCATTATGACGAAAACTGTTCTAAATTTATGCGTAATTTGATAGTCATGTTGAGGCAAAAGCTCGTTAGATAACCGAACAAGTCGCACCATTGAGGAAAGTGTAGCCCTGAGAAGACTTCCTCCCGGGAGTGAGTTATTTTTGCTTAGGCTATGATGCTATAGTCAGAACATTGATTTGTGGACATTGTGACCCAACACTTTCTCGTTATGAGAATTGGATAAGTAGATCCGTTAGGGATTTACCTTCTGCTTTTATGGTGAAAAGTTAGACGCAAAAAGGTTTGCTAATTCAATAAATCTTTACAGCCTAAACAGTTATCCAATACAGTTCTTAGATTTCGTCAGCCATGATAGGCCAACTGATGATCGATGAAACCAACTGAGTCATGATCAATGGTCCAAAAGAAGTTTTTCCTTACTTATCATTATGAGCCAGAATTTAAAGTTTCGCCACCTAGGGTGGGCAGTCCTCTATTAGAATATGATGGACATGTGTGATATAATTTATATGCTCGATGTAGATCCTTAGGATATGTTTTAGGAGAATTCTCGGTTGTTTTCGATGACTTACATAGAGAAATATCCTAGAATATTCTAGATGCAAAATTGCAATCCATTGACTTACCTATCGGTAAAGACCAGAGCCTTAGCTTTGGGTGAATCCTCGGATTGTCTTTGGAGAAACAATTGACCTATATTCCTTGATCTTCTTTGTTGTGGGAGCCTAAAGTACGCTATGTGGGCGTATTCCATGATAAGTGTTATCTTTGATAAATGGTCAACTGGTTGTTTAGACATTGACCTTGCTCATTAGATGTGGATAAAATGCTTTACAAGTAGTATATTAATTTGCTCCTTGTAAGATTCAATGTGCTAGTTGGGCGCATCTGTGCTAGTTGGGCGCATTAAGAATGAACGCAATTGGTCACCAAAATATCTTTAGAGAGGTTATTGCACAAGAGGTAGTGATCTTAAATTACTTCATGTGAGGCGCACATGGTGGATTCCGTTGTATATATTATCGCAAGAGGTGCTGATAAGGCTATGTTTGGAATCTATAATTGTGCAAGCTGTGGTCTTTTTTTTTTTTTTTAAATCAATTCACTTATTTTGAAGATGATGGGATGTTGACCATTAATGGTTTGTGTCATCAAGATTAGCAGATGATGATGTCAGCAGGCAAGATTTGCTCACTCACACGAGCAATCGCCCTTGGTGCTTGGGAGTGAGCAAGGATGAGACTGGTGGTTTATTTTATTTGGAGCCAAGAGAGGCTTAAATAATCCACTATGCATGTCGCCTTGGTTACAACCAAGATGAGGTTGTGTTAAGGACCAAACATGGATGATAGTACCCACTTTCCATGTTGTGCCTGTTATGATTAGCCAGATTCGAGATCTCATTTGGCGCCTAGAAGGCGAGCAAATAGAGAATTCGGGTTAGGCGCTAGAAAGCGACTAGACTAATATCTGTACGGTGTATCGAGTATGACGTTACTCTTTATGGAAGAGTTACTCCACCGTAGCATGTATTCATACTATATGTGCTTGGCGACTGAGTAATGAGGTGAGAGAATGGATCCCTGCTTCCTCACCGTGTGAGTCTTACGTGTTATTATTGATATGACTTTCATTTATGTACCCTTTTGTGACTTTTGACTATGTCATAAGGTAAGGGGTTGATGTTCTGCTACTTTGGTATGTTGCCTGCGGTCATGCATGATTCGGCCTTAAGGGACATTACTGGGAAAGCGGTCAATCCTAAACTAAATGGCATGAGTGCAAAGGGAAGATCATCTAGTATTACACCACTGTTGTATATTCACTGCCGGCAACTCACATCGCTCTGTATGAGAGGCGGATTGAGTGTGAATATATTGCAAGAATTGAGAGGGTCAAACATGCTCTTTTTGAGGGATTAGAGATGTTTTTTGGAACGGTGTAATTAGATGGGTCTGGGGTATATGAGACACTATTTCTGTTCTTTTTGAGTTGATGTCTCTATGCTGGCTCATTTCTAGTATAGAGCTCCCACATGCAGGTGTTCTTAGCAGTCACACGGTGCAGCGGCTAGTTTGAGATTGTTTATTTTTTGGGGAGATTGAGATAGAGACGTGGCAGTGTCATGCCAACTCATGTCCGAGTGGGAGATGTTAGAATTTGGGCGCCCATGTGGCATGACCCTCAGAACCTTTTGAACCTTATCCAAATGGGTTTTGAATTTTAATTCAAACCTATTTGGATAGCCACTCAGGATATATATCTATCATATCATGATATGGATAGATGATAGAGATATCAGATATTATCTCATATAACAAATATGGATAAATGAGATAAATAGATTATATATCTGACATATGGGATATGGGTGATTAAGTGAAAAATAACGTATGTTTGAGTTTTTCCCATATACTGACTCTCTCTCAAAAATAACGATAAAAGCCATTTGCACTATGGTTTGTGTGGGTGATATTCACTATTGTAATATCACCCCATTGCTGGGTTGATTGACCAGATTCAGGAAGCACGTGATTTACCCACGAGATCTTTCAATTCAGACTCTGTTTGAAAGGTATGACCATAATTTTTATTCCACTCCGTTATACTTTGTTTACAATTTCTATCGACATGCATACTAAAGTGCCATGACAGATGTGTTAGGGACGTGGCATGATGACATGTTAAATGAAGGGTCAGAAAGTTTGCAATTGCAGCAAATTAAAAGTTAGTTGCTGAGATCAAAGAGCCGAGATCAAATCAAGCATCAAATATGCAAAATGGTTCTTATCAAACATGGGACATGGATAATGTTAAGCAAATCATAAGTTTGTTGAGGAAATCGTGAGCTTAGGTTATCTCTTTTTTCTCATGTGACTGAGCCTATAAATAGGCGAAGAGAGATACAAAGATTATCAACAACTATCAATCACACTCGTGAAAAATTATTTAAGAGTAGTTCTAAATTAGTCATTTTAAGAGTAGATTAGAAATAACCTTTCTCAACCCTCACTTCTCTTTTTTCCGTGGATTGGTGTATTTTTTAGTTCTTTGTTATTGTTAAGTTCTTGTAACTGATAGCAAGTGACAATTTAATTGAATAAATGCATTTTTTGTTTGTTCAAATCCTTCTTTACTTAAGTATCTCCAAAGAAGTCTTTAATTTGTTTAAGGCATAAAACTCAACCATAAAACCTGATATATTTGTATTTATTAAAATTGGTTGAAGCCGGTAGATCAATCACTGTTGATTGGATTTAAACTGAATTTTTTCTAACAGATCTAAATTCAAATTTGATATGATATTAATTTTTAAAAAATATGATAGGGTATGAATTATATCTAAAATGAATTTTAAGCCATGTATTTCATTTTTTAGTTCAATTTTATATATTAGTAGCATTGTTATTATGTAATTGATTCTCTAATGTTTCTCTCCATACAAATATTACCCATCTCTCTAACCACAACCACGCATGAAAGGGCATAACACACACACAAAAATAAACAAATAAATAATGCATTCCACAATAGGGATGGCAACACTACAAGAAATTGCATTTTTCGCAACGCAACAAAATATGTTGCTAAAAGGGAAAATTCGTCGGCAAAGAGTTTTGCCGACACACAAAGCTACATTGGCAACTCGTAGGCAAAAGTGAGTCGGCAAAAGTTTTTGCCGACGAAATTATCATTGCGTTGGTAAAAATATTGCCTTTAGCGACGAACATAGACGTCGATAAAAGCATTCATCCATCGTCGGCAATTTACCTTGCGTCGGTAAAAGTCATTCAAATATGATGATTGGGTGGCACTTTTCGCGACACAAATTTGCATGGGCAAAAACTATACTTTTAGCAACAAAATATGCGTCGGCAAAAGTAAACTTTTGGCGACACATTTACGTCGATAAATGTTGTCATTTGCCTACGATTTGTTTGTCGATAAAACTTCACTTTTGGCAACGACAAATTAACATTGGCAAAAAATACACTTTTAGCAACACAATATGAGTGGGCAAAAGTAAACTTTTGGCAACACATTTACATCGGTAAATATTGCCATTTGCCAACAATTTGTTTGTCGATAAAGCTTTACTTTTGGCAATGATAAATTGACATTGGCAAAAAATACACTTCTAGCAACACAATATGAGTGGACAAAAATAAATTTTTGACAACACATTTACCGACAAAAATAATTGAAAATAATTTATATATTTTCATAAGTTTTACAGATTTACAAGAGGCATCCCTCAAGCACCACTATTACAAACTAATAACATTGATAGAAAATCATCTAAAGTTGATGTGCAGGCAAAAAAACACTACTGAGACAGCTTTTAGAATATAAAACTTGAAAGAGTAAACTCACTAAAATACCCAAATACATCCAAATTGTGAACCCACAGTAGAAACATCAGATAACAAAATGAAAACATGAAACTAACAAAGATAGGCAAAACGGCACGACAAATCACCCACAAACTTATGCAGCAGACCAGCATCCAGTAGCAGCCGCGTCACAGCAACATTGCAGCAGCAGCGGCGGCCCAGCAAGCATTAGCCACCAGGGCAGCAGCAGCAGCAGACCAACAGCTGCAGTAGACCAGCAAGCAGCAGCATCAGCCACCAGCCAAAAAGAGGATCTGGTAGCAGCCTCTATTGATCAATGACAACTTTAAAACAAAGCCCAATTAGCTTTTTTGCCCTCTCTCATATTCCTGTGTTGTTTGATCCCAAAGCCGCAAAAAACCTGTACAACACCCTCTGAAAGCACTTAGCAAAGGAAAACAAAAAAGGATATCCCAAAAAATCTAAATCTAAATCTTTAAACAAACAAACTCATATATTTGTCCATATTAAAACTATTCCCAGAAAGTAGACAATAAAATTAGTTGATTGTTCATGTAAGCATAATTTCCCATTTTCAAAAAGTGCACATACCTAACCTATATCACAAATGCATTATGAATTGCCAACCGATAGCAACCCACTGAATCAATATGTACTAACATATATCACATTTACAAAGTAACTGAAAAACTCTAGGGCTGAAGTTAAAGTAACCCAACAGGGATTTGATTAAAATCCATTACAATTCAAGGACATGCCTCCAGCCATGATTTTAAGATTTCACAAGGACAACCACACCGGGCCTAGCAACACTCATGTGGTACCTAATGTTTTTGGCTAATATTATTTTCCAGTTGCTACCCAAAGTTCAAAATCTCGTTTCCACTACTATTGCATTCATCTTAACTATTTCACACTATAAACCCCTAATATCGAATCCTGGCTTGCACAATTTTTTTTTCTTCTGAAAAGTATTGCACACAACAATTTATTGTATGTGTTTGACAACCCCCACAGGGAACCTACTAGTTCTGGTAGTTAGTGCCTTGCCAATTACTATTTTTTTTTTTTTTGAGCCTAGGTCTTACATTTGATTGGTTGAGATCATGTGCTAACCTACTTGACACATGTTCTTAAACATTCATGCATTTCTCCTACGCCTTCTTTATTTTTTATTTTTATTGATGTATGTTTGACATACTAAGTAGTACTCAATTAATTTACATCAATAAACTATTTTTGTTGATAAAGAAAAAAAATGCTTGTAACAGGGGACTAAATTACCAATCCAATAAGTGTAAAGACTACCAAACTAAGAACGGATAGATGGAATTACCAATAAGTGTTTGCACAAGGCTGTTATTCTCAAGGTAGTTGTAGAACAGAATTCTATGATCTTCATCCACGCAACAGCCATAGAGCTTGACTAAATTTTGGTGCTCTATATCTGAAATCACTCTAATCTCTGTCAAGAACTCCTTTACTCCTTGACTTGATTCAGGTGAAAGAACCTTATAACAGCAATATTCCCATTTTTAAGCCGTCCCTAACCATCAATACGCAAATTTTATTTGAAAACAAGGTGTTAGTCTACAGAAGCAAGACCATAAATTAGTATTTTATTATATGATGATAAAGTAAGCATTCTTGTGGAAATATGTCAACCAAACATACGCCTATTACCTTATGATCCATGCTTTCTAGAGCTAGCAGGGCATCGTCTTGACTAGTGTACTGAATAAAAGCATACCCCTTTGACCTCTTCACCTTTTCATCCATAACAAGCTTAACTATCAGTGCAACTAGATAGAATTAGCAACTCAGCACAAAAAACTGCTGCAAAATGAACTCCCAATCCTAATACAATACCGGACCAGTAGTGTAGTAGAACATCAAAACCAGACTCTCTCAGCACTGCCTCACTCCATTTTGTAATCCAAGAGCATAACAAAACAGATCAGCAATGATGCACAGAACAAATCCACTAAGTCCCACCTCTCTTCTAATAAGCGACATGATAACATATTTTTTCCATCTAAAATGCTAATGAATTAATAATAATAAATTAATAAATTTTATATGAATTAGAACTTCCCAGCTCATCTTGTTTTGACAGGTCATAAGTAGCACAACACTCATAGATTTCTTGTAGAATGATGACAGAACATGAAATATGAAATATAAAAACTTTCTGCAGCTGTTGCCAATAATACATCCCCAACCAAACCTAGTAGTCTCATTTCATAGAATCAATAAAAGTCAAATCACTTACCCCTGGTTTGTATTTTATGTCAATTTGATGCATATAGTTCTAATTGTATCAATTTTATTTTTGAAATTTTGACATTGTATCAATTTAGTCCAATTTTTAATAACTTTTTTTATATTAGATTGAAATCAAGAGGCAAAATAGATAGATCAGCAAGTGAAACTAAGAATCAGTAAATAATCAAAGAACAACATGCTTGCCCTTCCTTCATGTCTCAAATGAAACTGGCCTCTGAATACTTGCAAACAAATGAAAACCACAATTGAATCAGTAAATAATAATCAATGAACAACATGCCTGGCCTTCCCTCATGTCTTGAATGTGCCACAATGTGAAAATTTACCACAGATGTCTCTCCAAAGTCATTGCAGAGGATCCAAACCTAATCAATCGCAACACCAAATTGTTAATACGTGGAATGACAAAGTCAGAGATACGCAGAGTTGCAGATTAGCTATAATATGACATCTTTACCATCTTATTTTTGTACAATTGAGGCATGGGTGTCGAAGCAACCTGAATTTTTTTTGTTGAACAGGTCAGTCGGGATACAAGCCCATGTTGCAAATAAATACAATTAAGGTAAGTATAGCATGATATCATTGGTATACCTCATGATCAAGCCTTTGCCACACTTGAGACATGTCGCAATATGATTTTGAACAAATGGGGCATGAATACCTGCAAACTTGAGTTAATATGAAAGGTATTTGCAAAGAAATATGAGTTTATTTAAATAAGGAAAATAATATAGTTGCTCTATTTTCTCATTTACTTACTGTACATGTTGTTCCATCTCCTTCACGCATTGCAAGTGTATAGTGTGCCCACAAGGCAAGACTGTGATGTCTTTTGTTGTCTCAAAAAGATACTGCATAAAGAAATGGATCAACTTAGCATGAACAAATAGTTTGCAGATCTATTCTTACCTTTTAAGTTGTTTTTAAGTTTACCTCAAAACAAACAGGGCAATTATGGTGCATTGCTTTTTCTATGCAGATATGTGAATCCTTCATCAACCTTGAGTAGCGAACAACCTGAAGTAGAAAGAACAAATTTCCCAAAGCCATCACTTCATGAACAACTTTTTTGTAGTTTTTTTGTTATTTTTCCCAACAGAAAGAATGATAAAACAACCATGAACAACAGAAAAGAAAAGGGTACTCAAATGCTATTCATATAGGTGCTTACCACATTTATTACAATGGAAAAAGTTCTCTTTGCCTCCAGTTCTGAGATTTGAAAACATAACAAAAATTAATTAGATAAAATGGAATTCATTAAGAAAGTAACTATTTAAAGTACTTTAAGATGGTGTAGCCAAATTAAAAAATATATATATATAAAACAATTGAATTCATTATGAAGGAAAATAAAAACTAACTAAAATGCATTATAAGGGAAGTTAGAAAAGAAAGAAACTAGAAGAAAGAAGGGGGTGCAGAAAAAATATGAACTGTAACAGAAATGAAAAGAAAATGGAATAACATGATAAAGATTTTAACCTGCAGATTCCACATTTATCACAATGGTATTGATTCTTCAAAACCTAGAGATAGAAATTGTGTTGTTTAAGCAAGTATATAATAACTAGGCTTGAATTTTTTTTTGAAGAAATTCTAACAAAGAGGCTTACATCATCGTCAAAAAATTTGCATTTTGAGCAATAATACTTCCCCATGCAAACCCCACATTGGATGCAGTTTTGTTGAACCTGAAACGAGAAGGTAGAAAGCTTAAAACCTATTGCATGAATTTTACTTTATTCCCACAATTTTCTTGGCCTTTTGATAAATGTAGCCCATATGGGAAAAGCATTGCTCGCTTTCTACCTTGTTACTAGAAAAAAATAATAATTCTAGTGCTTTTACTTTTATCATTATGTAAGCTTTTCAGCAAGGAGACTTACATCTTGTTCTGTGTGACACAATGAGCAGATGACCTGAATACAAATATAGAGCACACACAAATTTAGATTAGTGTTTGAATTCTATGTTATAATCACTACAAACATTAAGTATATATGTAAAAATAAATAAATAAATAGAAGAAAAAGAAACCCGGGTTGCAAAATATGCAGAAAAAGATATGAAAAGTAACCAAGGAAAGAAACAAGAGATGGTTGATGAAACCTTATCCACAGGGAGTTGCATCTTGTGATTTAATTTAACCCATATCGTTTCCATGCTTCTGAGCTTCAGCTAAGTGATCTTCAAGCTCAAAGATATAATGTTTCAGTTTCTCATATTCAGGATTCGATTCTTCAACTGGTTTTTCCTTTCCAAGTACAACATCACTTACTTTAGATTGTACATCCTGTCAAAAATCATAGAGAAGTCATATGGCAGATCATTCATCTTTTCAAATGGACATCATTCCCATTTCAGTGCCCCTTGCAATCCCAATTGGGAGCCAATGCAGTCACTTCACAGAGAAAAGATGACTGACTCAGATAACTGATGAGCTCTCTAATAGCAGAATTGTGCCCTTCGATTTATAAGATTGGTGCAAGGACTGGGGGACACTTTTTTTAAAGTGAACAAAATTCTTAATCAGTTCAATTTGACATATTAATAATAGGACTCTTGAACTATTGAGTGAGAAAGGTAATTTCAAGATCCACAGCATAGTTAGACTCTTCATCCCATGTACTATATCGCTATTCCACATATCACTGCTCATTATCATGTACATAGCATATCAAACACATAACTAAGCATCTTCTGGGGGAAATTAAAAAACATCATGACCACTAACAGAGTTGGTCTGTTTATGGAAACCTTATTGATTGCAGGTTCATCGCTTCCCAGTCCTCAACCAAGCAGATTAGCCACCTCTTACTGGCAGGAAGACAGCAACAAACAGCAACAAAACAAAGGTTGGGCAGCATACAGTTCAGAAATACAAGAAGAAAGCAACCGCAGACAGCACCAGAGCATGCACTATAAAGAAAACAACTCAGCAAGGACACACTGACAAATATTCATTACAAATAGACAGCAAGACTGGGTAGAGTAGACCCACAGAAACAAATAGTCCTCAATCACTCAACCCTCAAGATGCAACACACAGCACTCCAAAAAAATTTATGAGGGCTAACCAATCACTCAACCCTCAACAAAAAAAACTCCCTTACAATTAAGACCAGCTTGACAACCTGCAGAAAAGAATTAGATAAACTATATGGCTCACCATCACTCAACCCACAAAAACCTAGCTATAGAGCCTCACCATCTCAACCCTTCTCCCTACAAGAGACCAGCATTGACAACCTGCAAAGAAAATAATGAGCAAGATAATAGGATTATGGATGTCTCACATTACACAACACTCATATATAGGCTCTCAACACTCACTCTCAATAATCTCCATCACAATACTAACTGTGGAGGCTCACAATCACTCAACCCACAACATCCCTAAGTAAGTACCAGCAAAGTCCTGAATACAAAGGGGAAAATGAGGCAGCTCCAAAGGACTGATGTAGGAGACCTGCAAGAGGAAGATCCAAACACACAACAATATATATAGAGACACTTATATATATATTTTTTTTTTTTTTTTGAACATTCACATGTATATAATATCTATAAAATTACATTAATAGATGATAAATCATTATTCGTAATTTTATATTTCAAATTATCAGATCATACAAGAATATTGACACATAATTCATATGATTGGAAGTGCGTTGATGTAGATTATCTCATGCCTATAACCTATTTGGCATAACAAAAATTACTACGAACTTGATTCACGTTCTTAATTACGGTTTTGTGAATTGCTGGGTTGCCAAGTTATTGTCTTAGCACTTTTCACACTTCAAAATATGAACATAATGTGATTCACACTTTTGTAAAACGTAAGGAGATTTGTTTCGTTACCATACACACTTCACTTGGTATCTTTGTACTTTTGCTTGTGTTGATTGAACTCATATAAGTCATAGCTCACATGGACCCCAAAAAAAAATCAAAAAAAAAAAAGTTAATTACTTAAAAGTTTTATTTACAAATGTTATAATAATTTAGATCCTATTTAAGATTTTTTTTTAAACCAATAAGTCCTATTTAGTAAAATTGAAAATATTATCAATTTTTGTAATTTTTAAAATTAAAAACATTATTAATTTTACATAGTAATGTTTTAGATAATTATTTCACTAATTGATGAAAAAAACAGAGAACATTAACAGTTTCTGTACTTCTACTTATTGGTTTGATTCAACTATCTAATAAAACTGAGAACATTAACAGATTTTTTTCAGTTTTAAAACAGAGAATATTATCAGGTTTTTCATTTTTAAAGTTTTTTTTTTTTTTTGAAGTTTTGCACATCAATGTTATATCATCGTACTCCTTTATAGACACAAACTTTTTAGTTTTGCACCAAAAAAATCTATTTTTTCAATTCTCAATCTGTTTTCGTGTTTTTTTTATTTTTAGTGAATATTTTTAAACATCTTTTTTACTTTTTTAGATGCACATTACTTAGATGTATCTAAAAAGTAAAAAAATTGTAAAAAATATTTTAAAAAATTAATAAATACATAAAAATATTAAAAAAAATACACTGAATTCTTATATATTTTTTGTATTTTTGGAATTTGG